TATACGTATATATATATCATAAGGTGCTGAAACATTTCGCTTACCTGGTATTGTTTTAACAGGCTGAGGTTGGAACTGAGAAACATCAAAAACAGGTGCATTGTCATTTGAATTTGTGGGTTGGGATGCACGTAGACGTGTATAAAGTAAAACCTATTAAAGAAAAAATATAGAATTAAAATACAGAAAAGTATATTTCATCATTAAATGAAACCTTTGGTTGTAAATAATGGTATCTGGCATTTTTAGTGAAATCGAGACCAGCGGTTCTTGCGAAGGAGAGGCCTTAGCTTTCTTAATATTCCGAGTGTATTCAAGAAAGAACTACATATCGAAATGATTATTTACTCGCACGTTTTGGAATGAGCAGCATCTTTCGTATAAACTGTGACGCCGCAATGCTTCTTCACGAAAGGTGAAATGTCGAATACCATTATTTATGAGGCGAAATCACACTATCAAATGATAATATTTCTATAAAATGATAAGTTGTTGTAATTCCAACACGATGCTATGAGTGTTTAGACCGGACGATTTCTGTTCTGGAGTATACGGAATGGAGTAATGCACCTCCAAACACAAATAAGTACAATTGACATGAAGGGCGAAGACAAAGAAAATATAATGTCTCATACATTGCAGGCTAACAATTGCATCAGTTGGGATTTGTCAAAAGAAACCATTGTTGTAAGGAAGCTGGAACAGTACTAATGCCCCAAATATACATATAGAAGATGGATTGTCACGAAATGCGAATATCGTATCACCACTGAGGTACAAGCGCGAGACCTTTGGTTCATCATCATTCTTCATGTCAATTGTGCCGTTATATCAGATCGCTGATCGCGATAAGGTCCTTAAACGCGTTTGATATCACAGCTCAGTTGGCTAGATCATGTACCTGGATAATAGAAGATCCGCGCTCGGATTCCAATGGGTTCAAACAACTGCAATGCCTAGATAATCATGGCAATCGAGTTTCAAAAAATAGTGAATCTTGACGCTGCCTGCGAACATCATTTACTTTATGCACTGCGTTTCTTCTTTCCTTATTTGTTGGAATTGCTTCCCTTTCACGCGATATAGTTTATAGTAATTATCATTTTTAAAAGAAAAAATACGTAGGGAAGAAACGAATTACTAACTTATCTAAAACATCCACGTAAAAAACTAGCGGCCTCATTATCTACTTTCTATTTCTCTCCCTCACGGCACATCCTAACTGTCCTTCCTCTTTATCCGTCGTTAATGACCGCCCTCACTATCTGTCCTCAATACCCGTCCTCATATATACATATAGAAGATGGATTGTCACGAAATGCGAATATCGTATCACCACTTGCAATCACAGCCTGTCCTTACTGACCCTCCTCTGTCACTACCCGTCCTCACTGCCCGTTCGCCCTTGCCGCTTCACTGCCCATCGCAGATGTGGTGATGTCCCTAATCCCTCAGAGGATATGCTCCAAGTTCCCGCGCTTATGATCATTTTGTACGTGTTCTTCATATTTCTTGTGCAATGTTAAAATAATTTGTTCTTGAATTCTCCCAAATTAAATAAATAAATAAATAAATAAATAAATAAATAAATAAATAAATAAATAAATAAATAAATAA